TATAGATATAGCTCCCATATATAGTTTCGCCCGATTTTAGGTAAATAGTCCACTAAAGTCCCTACATATCTTTCGATTTGCACGAAATTTGGTACAGCGTACTGAATTAAGTATAGAATGATGTGTGCAAAGTTTCGTGAAAATCTGTTCAGATTTAGATAGAGCTCCCATATATAGCTTCGTCCGATTAAAGATAAATTGTGTACCAAAGTCCCTATATACCTTTCGATTTGTACGAAATTTGGCATAGCGTACTGAACTAAGTATAGAATGTTGTGTGCAAAGTTTCGTGAAAATCGGTTCAGATTTAGATATAGCTCCCATATATATCTTCGTCCGATTTTATGTAAATGGTGTACAAAAGTCCATATATATATGTATCTTTCGATTAGCACGAAATTTGGCATAGCGTACAGAATTGAGTCTACAATGATGTGTGTTAAGTTTCGTGACAATCCGTTCAGATTTAGATATAGCTACCATATATATGTTCGGCCGATTTAATGTAAATGGTGTGCCAAAGTACCTATATATCTTTCGATTGGGAAGAAATTTGGCATAGCGGATTGAATTAAGTCTAGAATGATGTGTGTCAAGATTCCTGAAAATCGGTTTAGATTTAGATATAACTCCCATATATTTTCGCCCGATTTCATATTAATTTTTAATTTTGTACGAAATTTGACATAGTGTATTTAATTGAGTCTAGAATGATGTGTGTAAAGTTTCCTGAAAATTGTCCGATTTTAAGACCCAAAGTTAGTCCGATTGCCACACAATTTTGCAAAACTTGTTAAAGTTTGTGTAACATAACATGTGGCAAATTTTGCTGAAATCAGTTCGGATTCAGATATAGCTCCAATATTTATTTTCTTCCGATTTTAAATAAATGGTGCACTATAGACTCAAAGTTAGGCCGATTGACACAATATTTTGCACAACGTACTTAAGATAGTATAGCCAAACGTGTGTCAAGTTTTGTTGGAATCCGTCCAGATTTAGATATAGCTCCCATATAGTTTTGTCCGATTTTATGTGGGATCCAAGGACCCAAAATATTTCCATTAGGAACAAATCGTGCATAAATTAGTCTAACATAACCTGTGACTAGTTTCGTTGAAATCGGTTGATATTTGGATATAGCTTCCATATCTATTTTCATCCGATTTTAAGTAAATGGTGCACCAAACTTTTCATGTTTTTTTTTCAGAATAGAATGATGGAATTGCGTGTAGAATTACAGATGGAGTCCATATATATTTCCGACCAATATTTGCCCGATTGATATTTGCTTTAAATCGATTTACATAATTTTGTTCCCTCGTTAGAATGCATCTTTTTAATATAACCATAGTGGTGAAGGGTATCATATAGTCGGCCGTCCAACTTTAGCACTTTCCTTACTGGTTAAATTTGGGTCACTTTGACCCAATTTGTGAGTTTTGGTGAGTCCAAATATTAATGTACATACGACTGGAAATGTTGTAATAAACCCTAAAATCAGAACATAAGGGACACTTTCTTAGATTGAACTGTAAGCAAACATATTAAAAATATTAACCTTATATGCAAGCACGTCAAAAGGCATCCTGAACCAAAAAATGGGCGGGGCCGACCATATGATATCCTACACAATTACCACCGAACTATAATTTTCCGCAGATATATATTCCGAGCGATATTTGCCGTGTCTTAATCGATGAACCTCATGTAAATTGGACCGACGTTTTCTCCTCTAGTGTGGTAATGGTAATTATCTCAGTGTAACTCCCACATTCGAATTAATACAGCAATATAATTGATATCAAATGATAAGAAAAAAACTTATCGGGTCTATGTCCATCAGGAGTAAAAATATATACGCCATAGAATACAAATTTTGTCATTTCTCACACAAAAGTCCGGCTCCATTTGACTCGCTAAATATTGATCAATCTTCATCGAAACAGTTATGCTTATTCTATGGTCAGACCCTTCTTTCCCTTCTCCTGAAGCCACAAAGCACCAAATATTGAGTGTTCCCTCATATGGGGTCCTATATTGATCATTTTCGGTTGGAAGATTTGACACCAAATGGGAACCCAAACTCAGTTGAAGAATTTGCCCAAAACCTACAAAACATCGACAAATCAGTGTTTTATATAAGGACTACCCTGAACTTGTTAGTACGGTAGAAAATACCCAATGGGATACCAAATATCATGATGCTTGATGATTACAGACGGGCAAAATCAAGCGGGGACTTCGGTGTATCATATACTTGTGCCATCTGAATATGTATCGATTTTAATAAAACATATCTTGGTGATCATCAAGCATCATGATATTTGGTTCCCAAAATTACGAATTTCCTAAAATACCTCAATCCCATAGTAATTTTAATTCCTTAAGTCTGGAGTCCAGCCTATCCGTCCCCTAATCCGGATTAAGTGTCCCTTAATCCGGATTATGCCTTAATCCGGATTAAGCCTTAAACCGAGGTCAAGGACCCTTAATCCGGATTAAGTTTCCCTTAATCCGGATTAAGTGGCCCTTAATTAAGATTAAGGGACACTTAATCCGGATTAAGGGACACATAAGCCGGATTAAGGGACACTTAATCCAGATTAAGGGACACCTAATCCGGATTAAGGGTCATTGACCCAGGTTTAAGGCTTAATCCGGATTAAGGCATAATCCGGATTAAGGACCACTTAATCCGGATTAAGGGCCACTTAATCTGGATTAAGGGACACTTAATCTGGATTAAGGGACACTTAATCCTGATTAAGGGACACTTAATCCGGATTAAGGGTTGTTGAACTAGGTTTTTAGGCTTAATCCGGATTAAGGCATAATCCGGATTAAGGGACACTAAATCCGGATTAAGGGACACTTAATCCGGATTAAGGGACGGATAGGCTGGACTCCAGACTTAAGGAATTAAAATTACTGTTGGATTGAGGTATTTTAGGAAATTCGTAATTTTGGGAACATAAAGTACTAAATTGTACCAAATAGTCATGGTCCGTTTTGAGAATAAGCATAGAATCACTTTCACCGAATATAGCACGATATATAGTTTCGTTCGATTTAAAGTAAATGGTGCACCAAAGTCCTTATATATCTTATAGATTAAGGGTCCTTGACCCAGGATTAAGGCTTAATCCGGATTAAGGGTCCTTGACCCCGGATTAAGGGACATTTAATCCGGATTAAGGGCCACTTAATCCGGATTAAGGGCCACTTAATCCGGATTAAGGGACACTTAATCCAGATTAAGGGACACTTAATCCGGATTAAGGGTCCCTTAACTTAACTGACACTTAATCCAGATTAAGGGACACTTAATCCGGATTAAGGGTCCCTGACCCAGGTTTAAGGCTTAATCCGGATTAAGGCATAATCCGGATTAAGGGCCACTTAATCCGGATTAAGGGACACTTAATCCGGATTAAGGGTCCTTGACCCAGGTTTAAGGCTTAATCCGGATTAAGGCATAATCCGGATTAAGGGCCACTTAATCCGGTTTAAGGATCCTTGACCCCGGATTAAAGGCCATCATTTAACCCGAATTAAAGGTCATTGACCCCGAATCGAGGGTAGACAAAGGGGAAGAGCTAGAATTCTGAAATTTTGGATGTGGTTCACTGATGGAAAGTTAGAAGGATGTAGATGCTCCATTTTAGAAATTCGTACTTATGTCTATGAAAAGTACTAAATTTGGTACTATCTGCATTTAGTTGAGCGTAAAGAGATTGAATACTTAAAAATAGGAATTAGGATAACTATTAGAGTACAGGATTGAGGTACTTATGTGTACTAAATGGTACTATGTTTGGTACAACTTGATTATGTGCAAACGGATAGGCTGGACTCCAGACTTAAGGGAACACACCCCCCACCCCCCTTTCCGATTTTTTTATTTTTAAGATTTTAAATGGGTTGGTAAATCAATACCAATGCTTGTTAAGGTTTGTAACTTTTCACATATACATTTGAAGATTTAAAATAGTTTACAAAACATTTTTGTTGTTGTCTTGTTGTTGTTTTTTGTTATTAAAGAAAGGTCCTTATTTTTGATGGCGGGCATGATAACTCCTCACTGGAACATCGGAATCCGAAAATTCCAACGGTGTTAGAAAGAGTACATGTCTGGCTCTCGTATGAAGGATTATTGACTTCGCTCTAAAATTAACAAAATGGTGGACCTTTGAAAAAATATTTTTGGAAAATCGCCAATTTTTTACCAAAAACCAAGTTAAAAAATAAGGAAAATCTTCACCGATTGGCTTTACCCTAGTTCATACGATAGCTATACACTCCCAGAGAAACGTTGCAAAATTTGGAACCGATTGGATTATTAGTTTTTAAGTTATCGTGCCCGCCATTCGCAAAAAAATGTTTAGAGAAAAACGCGTTTAAAGTTTGAGAAGCCCTTCACTTGATGCTGACACAATAAATCGGCTATATCTTCAAGAGTTCTTGAGATTTTCACTTGAAATTTTGTAGAGACATTCTTTAATCAGTGTAGATTCGAATTATATCAACAAAAAATTTGACCCCGAGAATGGCGGGGGTCCCCTTAAGGAATTAAAATTACTGTTGGATTGAGGTAGTTTAGGAAATGCGTAATTTTGGGAACATAAAGTACTAAATTGTACTAAATAGTCATGGTCCGTTTTGAGAATATGCATAGAATCACTTTCTCCGAATTGGGAGAAGTTTGGCCCAAGGACGAACCGTATTGAAATTGGGGAACTCGGTTCATATTTAGATATAGCTCAAAGTCCTTATATATCTTTTGATTAATTTAATCCGGATTAAGGGACACTTGATGTCTTAAGCCGGATTAAGTGTCCTTGATCCAGGATGAAGGGCCACTCATTTCAAATTAAGGGTCCTTGAACAGACAAAGCGTCTGTAATACATTTTGCAAAACCATTATAACATATCAAAAACGTTTAACTCTCAGATTTTAAAAGTATTTAATGCCATTTTATTTATAATTCATTTTCAATTCAAAAATCATCGCCAACAATCGACTCTAGCCATGGAACATAATGGGTAACATTGGTAAATACATCCGGATAACGGGAACCACAGGCACCAACAACGAAATTAGTAACACCAAACAGCCTATTAAAGACAACAGCTCCATTACCAGCATCACCATTACAGCTACCCTCCTGCAAGCCATGAGCCATACAAAATTCGGAACTGTCTAGCTCGCTATATGCATCTTTGCACACTTCTTCCGTGGCAACAGTGAATCGGTAAGAATTCAATTTAAAAGCTGAATCCGAATTCAATTGTTTACCCCAACCAGCAACCACGACTTTGGTGCCGGCAGCTGGGAATTCATCATCTACCGTGGGGAGGGAAATACCGCGAATGCGACTAGTCCATTCCAATTTGGTTTCCAAAATTAAAACAGCCAAATTATTTTTAACACCAGAATAATTGGGATTGACAATAACAGATTCAACATCGACCAATTTGCCAGCGGCAAATTGATTGGTGCTGCCAACACGCACCGACAAACGTTTAGGGGAGATTCTAAAAAGGAAGTTATTTGTTAGATGAGCAATTAATTATCTTCTGCTTTACTTACACTTTTTCTTTTTCCACAACACAATGGGCAGCTGTCAAAATGTGTTTTGTTCCAATAATCGTTCCGCCACATATATGAGCCTGATCCAAACGCACAGAGGCCGCAAATGGAAATTCAAAGTTTAGAGCATCCTCACCTCCCCAAATACGTGATGCCGGCTGGCCCAAAATACCGGTGCTACATACGGCCCATAGGCCAACAACAGCTATGGAGAAACGTGCGTATGTCATAGCTTCCGTGTATTAACTGAAAAATGCTTCTGAAATATGACCTAAAAAATATGTTTGCTAATCTCTACTGTCTTGTTAAGTGATTTCTATATAAATTTCGATAAGCGTGTGACCAATTGATTAATGATTAAATTCGTAAATGATAGCTGTAATTGGTGTGGAATTTTTTCGTCATTTGTCCTTATCTTATCATTGTTTTGGTGTTTTCAAAATTTGTACTCTATCAGATTTTACTCTATTTTGGTTTGACATCCGAATCACAGTAGTTCTGGAGAGGACACATTTTCAATGGTTTAAGTTTCTTTCTTTTTCCGCATTTTAATGGTGTATTTTCAACCCAAGGTTGGAATAATATGCGACCTATATTTTGATAACAATTTAACATGGATAGGCAGAGGGACATGCTTAACGAAACATTGGTCCTGGAGCCACCTTTAAGAATTACTTACTTACTTAGCTGGCTTGTTACAGAACGGTTGTTCCATAAGCCGAGCTTAAAAAAGATTTCCAAGCGCGTCGGTCTTGTGCGCAAGTCCACCAATTTGGAAGACCACGTTCCAAGATGTTTTTCTACTTGGTCTTTCCATCTAATTCGTGGCCTTCCCCTTCTACGGGAACCATAAGTAGGCTCATTATACCCTACACAACTATGTGTCAGGGTATTATAGCTTTGTGCAGCCCCAAGAGATTGTAGCGCCGCGAAATATGGGTTCTAGACCCACCTTTATGTATACCGATCGTCATATCTCGACTAGCTGAGTCGATCTACACATGTGTGTCCGTCCGTCCGTCTGTCCATTATAATTTGTAAACACGATACAGGTCACAGTTATGGACCAATCTTCATGAAATTTTGCATGTAGTATGGGTTCTGTCCAATGAAGACCCCTATTGTTTTTGATAAAGATCGGTTAATATTTAGGGGATGAAATGGACCAAATACTTAATTTTTGTCGGTTTTTCTGGTCGTTCCAGAGGCCGTAATTATGACCCGAACATTGCGAAATTTTGCATGAAGAAGGGGGTCGGGCCAAAGAATAAGCATGGCTGTTTTGATAAAGATCGGTCAATATTTAGAGGGTCAAATGGACCCTGACTTTTGTGTGAAAAATTACAAAATATGTATTTTATAGCGTATATATTTACTCCTGAAGGATATAGACCCGAGGAGTTGATAGCATATCCAAGAGGAGTGGTTGGCCTTTAAATTGATACCAACTACAATTATGTATCTACTCGGATCTGGGAGTTAAACTCAAATATTTACAGGTGCTTACGTATTCAAATATTATTTAGTATCCCATTACCACATTAGAGGGCGGAAATAGTTCCAATTATGGTCAAGGACAACGATGTGTGTTTTCGAAAATGTAAGGAAGAGGTTGACCTCTAATCGGGCAAATTCACGAAATATTACCCTGACTCGGAATAAACATTCGCAGAGAGTTAGGAGAGTTAGAGTTCTGTGGTAGTTGTGTAGGGTATCGTATGGTCGGCCCCGTCCGACTATACTGCTCCGCTCACTGGTTTTTATATGCCTTTTGAGCTGGGGCATTTTCATTCATCCGCACAACATGGCCTAGCCTCCTCAGTTGCTGCAGGTCAATACGACTGACTATGTCGATGTCCGCGTATAAATTGTAAAGCTCGTGGTTCATTCGACGCCGTTATTCAACGTCGACGCAGATCGGTCCGTAGATCTTTCGGAGAATTTTTCTCTCAAACACCCCAAAAGCTGCCTTATCTGCTTGCGCAAGTACCCATGCTTCTGATCCATATAATAGCACGGGTAGTATCAGCGTATTATAAAGTGTGAGTTTGGTCTGGCGGGAGGTGGTCTTGTTTCTAAACTGCTTACTTAGACCATAGTAGCATCTGTTGGCCATCACAATCATTCTCCGAATTTCAAAACTGATGACATTCGTTTTATTTATGACGGTACCAAGGTATAAACAATTTTTAACTACCTCGAAGCTGTAGTTCTCAAGTTCCACAGTTGGTCCGAGTATACTGGACGTCTTGCGCGTTGATACCATCAGCTTGGTCTTCTCGCCGTTTACTGCCAGACCCACTTTGGCAGACTCCTTTTCAATTTGTTCAAAGGTGGCTGTTACCGCTCGCAATGTTCGACCCATTATATCGATGTCATTGGCGTAGGCGAGTAACAGGTGTTGTTTGGTGTACAGAGTGCCATTTCTGTTCACCTTTGCGTCTCGTATTACCTTTAAAAATATCACACGACAAACTGTCACCTTGTCTGAATCCTCGTTCGGTATTGAAGGACTCCGATAGGTCCTTTCCGACTTTAACTGCTGACCTTGCGCCACTTAAAGTTATCCTGCATAACCGTATTAATTTTGCAGGAATGGCGAACGCAGACATGGCTTTAAACACCTCTGAACGGATAGGGCTGACGAATGCGGCTTTATAGTCGACAAATAAGTGGATGTGTCGATGTGTTTTTCGTGGGTCTTTTCCAGGATTTGGCGCAGAGCACACTGGATAGCACTTTATATGCGATGGGAAGGAGACTTGTCTCCTTTTTTTGTGCACAGGATGCTGAAGTTCCAATCATTGGGCATGCATGCATCTAGCCAAATTGTGCTAATCAGCTGGTGCATGCTCCTGACCAGCATCTGGTCACCACTCTTGAATAGTTCGGCTGGTAACCCTTCGGCTCCTGCTGTTTTGTTGTTCTTGAGCCGATTAATTGTTTTTATGACCTCATCTTGGCTAGGTCGTATACACTCTATACCATCATCTCTTATTGGTTCTGGGGTATCTTCTTCATCGCCACTATTTGATACTAGAAGCTTTTCGAAATGCTCCTTCCAGATCCTCAACACGCTGTCTGTATCTGTCACCAGGTTTCCTTCTTCATCTCTACAGGAGGATGTGCCTGCACCAAAGCCTTCGGTTTGGTGTTTTACTCGTTGGTAAAATTTCCGGACTTCATTCTGACTCCTGTACATCTCGATTTGCTCACGCTCACGTTTTTCTTGTCCTTTCTTCATTTTTCTGAAAACACGTTTCTTCTCTCACCTTTTCTCTCGATAATTCTCCATCACGTTGCGTGTTGCTACTGTCTGCAGGGTTGCCGTATACGCTGCGTTTTTCACATCAGTAGCATTACGACACTCCTGATCGTACCATGGGTTTCTTGATGGTGGTTTTTGGTACCCAATTGTTCTTTTTGCTGCAGTTTGTAGGGAGTGGGCAATTCTTTGCCTTTGTGCTTCTATACTATTATCGGGACAAGAAGTGCTTTCTTCTCATCACCTTTAAGAATACCGATTGCCATATCTCGACTAGTTGTGTTGATCTAGACATGTGTGTCCATTCGTCTGTCCATGATTTCTGGGTAAAGAAGACCCCTATGTTCTGGATGGGTTCTGGGTAAAGAAGGCACCTATTGTTGGTAATGATCGGATAATTTTTAGGGGATGAAATGGATCAAAAACTCGATTTTTATCTGTTTTTTCCATTCGCTCAAGAGTCCACAATTATGACCCGTACACTACGAAATTTTAAACTTACATTTTAAAATTTACAGAAAGTGAATTTGGTCAAAGACTAAGCATGACTGTTTTTATAAAGATCGGATAGTATATCCTTTAAATTGTTACTATATTGTAAATATTTGTAAATATTTGAAGGTGTATATGTGTTATGATATTGTTTAGATCTCGAAATGATTTTTGTTGGGCTGAAATTAACCGAAACTTTATTTTGGTCAGATTTTCTCTATAGGCCATTATTATATGAAGAACATCACATAGGAACCCAATGTATCAAATTTCAGCGAATTCGGTTGAAAACCACGCTCAAGTACCCAAAATGCCAAAAATTTGGGGCTATTCTTGAACATTGACCGACCACATATACCATCTTTGAACTTGACCTGCCTGTAGACAAAATTTTAGCCACCTATTTGAATTCGTTTAGACGCTAGATGGCCTTAGAATTTATTTAAGTTATCAAAACAAACGTTTCCATTGAATTTCCTGCGGTCGATGTTTGTGTGTAATTGTTCAAACTGCTACTAAGTAGTTGACGTTTGTTCTCTTGACTTTTTTCTTATGATAAACGGACAAATAATTTGATTGGCGTCATCATCATTCTTTTCATCGCTAACGACAAAACCAACAACGTAATGCGAATCTAAACTATTGTTGGTAGAATACTTATTTTGGTACACTTAGCATTCGTCGCTATATTATTAGAGATGGGCAGTGGGTAAATACCCAAAGGGTAAATACCCGGTAAATTGGGCAAATACCTCAGATGGTTTCTATATCAATACAAATACTGGTATAGAAAATAGGGTCCCCGTGTTCAAGTTTTCATATAGCCCTCATATAACCGTATCTCCCGATTTATGGTATTTTTGTATATTAGACACATTTTGCGATCAAATTGGTTATAATTTGGTATAATGTGATATCTTTTTGCACAACATATTCATGCGAAATGTCGTTTTTGACAAAATGGTTCAAATATCAACATTATTTCATGTATGGGGTCTTCAAAACACACGTCAAGTGGTTCGGCTGTTAAAAAGTTTATAAATATATATAAATACCCAAAATCAGGACCGGTATGCAAAATTTTTTTCAATTCGGCAGTCATGAGTTTATACCCAATTTTTTATGTTTTACCCACGTCTTTAAAGTACGTAAAACTATCCATTCTAAATCGATTTGATAACAGAAACCCGGAAATAGGGTGTAATATGTTGTATTTGGTAGAATACTAAATACCCAAATAAATTGGGTATTTACACTTAGCATTTACCCGGTAAATACCTATATATTATTAATCAGATACTCAGTACTCGAGATAGAGAAATGAAAACAGAAATAACAAGTAAGAAAATCAGTAAAGCTGTATGTATTTATTATTTTCTGTCACAAAGTATAATAAACTCGTGCACACATTTCTGACGACAAAGATGGACCTTAACATATTCCTCTTCTACATTGAATAAATGTGTACTCAAT